GATTTCAATTCCATATTACAGTACTACTACATGTATACTGAATTTAAAATGTACTATGTATATAAATACATACTGTTGATATAATATAAAATACTATATATTAGAGTACCGTATGTGATATACTTGGACATCATGCAAGTAGCTAAATTTACATAATAATTAGATAGTTTAATTTATGCGTATTTTACTAAATTTAACATGTTAGATATAAAAATTATATTAATATAATTATGAATTTTATAATACTAATATTATATTATTGAATTGCATGTATTGAAAATAAAAATTAATGCATACTTATATGTTTAAAACATGTGTTTTATATTTAATTGAGTTGTCATTTATTGAGTTACATACCATTATTTATACATTAATTTTAAAATCGTTATTAATTGAAAATATTTAGCTGAAGTCAATTCATGCCATTGTTTAATATTTTGTGATATTTGAGTATGGTGAGTTTTTTTTACGAAATAACAACATTAATGCCAATAAAGTAAAATTTATACACGCATGTTAATAAAATTATAATAATTGTAGACGTGTAGCTACCATTGAAATGTGTAATACAAACAAAATATACCACGATAATTGTAGATGTGATTAACATGATATAAATATGAAAAATATTATACAAAACTAGTTCATTAAATACCTGATTTTTTACAAAAACATTTTAATTATAGTGGATACCTCAAACATGTACTTTTCATTCAAAAGACTCCAAGAACATTTCAATTTTTCATTCATAACATACAATTTATTAAGATATTTATAATATAATTCAAAATATATAAACTGGATAAATATATTCCAGCCTATTATGTAGAATAATGATATTGCCGCATGATGCCGGTATAATATATTTAAAATTGAAAACTCAAAAAAATGATCAATATATTTATCAGGAAACACACAGTACAACATTAATAAATACAATGATAACTGAATGACCAAGTATATAATTGCCGATATATTACGAACAGGTAACTCAAATTCCAAGTAATAATCGTTTAATTTAGTGTTTAATTCATATATACGTTGAGAATTGCAGCGAATCTTCACATACGATATCAATATATTAAGGTCTTCAACAAAAATTGTCATTTTCACGAGTGATAATACCAGGCTGTCATTGGTGGTTATGGTCACAACAAGGGCAAATATGTAGCACACATACGTGGTCACAATGATCCCGGTCAATATATTTGAAAATAGTTTGTGTTTGCTGCTTAATCCATATGCAGTTAATATGTGTTCAAACATTTTAATTATTACAGTACCTATAAATAAAATAATAATTAAAATAAATAAGAATAATTAAAATACTTTCACAGTATTTTATACAAAATGATTAATTTGCATTACGTGTTTGACTGATACCTTTTTTCAAAAAATAATTTATACTTTATATTGTGAGCTGGATAAATATTAAATATATAATATGAAATATTTATTTCCAAACTATTTTCAAATTTCAAATACTTGGTATTGAGCTATGGTCTATAGATAACGTATTAATCAAATTAATGCATTATAATAGTATATAATTGTATCATGGTATTTTAATGATACATGTTAATTTTGAGTTTATAAAGTTTTGCATGTTGACAGGCTATAGTTTGAAAATATAGCTTTCATATGTGACTTCAATTTAGACATTATATAATACAATACAATCCGTAATTGAATTGACAGATAAGTCACATCGAGTCTCAGTCATGAAAATTAAATAAAAGTATCCACATACAAAACTTACAATACTTTCAATATCAAATGTATTTTTTACATAAATTATATACTCACATGTCAGATCAAAATAAAAAATTTAAAACAAATACTGCTTTATAAACGATAAAAATTATTATTATTATGTCTATTGTTATATATTGTTATAATTGTCATATTATTGATTTTATATTAAGTGAAAATATTTGTAAATAATTTGTACATAGATATAATTGCAATTTGCTGTAGATATAATTAAATTTCGTTTATTTTATCATATTAATTATTTTTAAAATATATTTTAATTTAAAACGACCACGTAGCAATAAATATTATAATTATTAAGTGTAAATAATATTATATAATTAATATTCATGATATGAGATACAATATTGTGAAACGATCTCTATGCTTATGAATTCACACTGTACTCAATACTGTATTGAGCAAAATGTTATAAACATTATATGTACAAACTTATTTATAATGAAAAAATCTTAAAAATAACATTAATATAAGCAAGGAACTTACACAACGTTAATGCTGTCTCAACACTAAAACACACTTTTAAAATCAACGGAAATAATATATTCAGTGAAATAGGTAATAATATTAGATATCAATTTTGCAACATAAACTAAATGTAAGTTAGCCTTATTATCATTGACAAATCAAATAAAAATATACATTTTATCTAGAGTGAAAATACTTTCTCTAATACTTTCTGAATTAAATTGAATTTATTTTGAACATTTTATATACACCCACGGAATATACAGTAAATACAATGCAATACACTACTATACAACATGTATTGTGTTTACTACTGAATTCTGTATTTATTTATTTATTAAGATAACAAATCTAGACATTAATGTGTCATATTATTCATTTATAATGCTTTTAAAATTAATGTTTACAATTTCACGATGCATTAAGCTAATTATTTTGTCAATGATAATATAATATAATTAGAAAAACGCCAAAAATAGTTTAGAAATTAAATGAAAATTATTGATTTTCACCTCATTATAGTATCATAAATAAAATCTAAGCTTTTATTGTAATTGTGATTACGAAATACATTAAAAATTAATGTTTCCTAAAAAATATTTGTTGAAATTGTTTAAAAATAATTATTTAGAGTATAATGAAGAAATAAATCCACTATAATTCTTAAGAAAATATTATTTTATAAACTAGCAATAAATGTTTATTATATAAAATGAAAAACTATAAAAAGTTAATTAATATAACATTAATTAGGATGGTCAAATTTTAAGGACTTACACATAAGATAATAAGCACCTGTCTGTTCTATGCTCATATAAAAATATTCTAAATATTATTTAATAAAAATATTTTTTTAAATCTAACATTTCTAAGAATTAATTAAAAAATATTATCTTATTTATTAAATAAAATAAATTCCTACAAAATGTTCAATATATGTTTCAACCTCCTGGTGTTTGAAAAACAAATTTCATAATTATTGTCTTATAAATGTGTGGTTAGTGTTTATAATACTATGTTTTAAAACATAATCCCTAATATTGTACGATTAGGTAAATAAATAACACACAGAAATCATATTATATACGCATTTTACATATAGCGCCTAATTGTTATTTATCAACGATTGCAAAATAATTGAGAAAGTTAGATTTTGAAGTCATATCTTATATATTTTGAGTGCATGTAGACATTAATACTACGAGTGCCAATCAGTGCTCAAAGTGCTAACTAGTGTTGAAAAACTTTGACTAATTAAGGCAACACAACAATAGTTTTTAAGTTATCAATTAGTAATACTGTATAAAAACGCTAGTTTATAATGAAAAAATTAAAACTATTTTTCTGATTCATGGATCAATTAGTCAAATTGTTTGAACACTAGTTAGCACTTTAAGCACAGATTAGCCAAGGTAGTATTAATGTATACATGCACTAAAAATATATTAGATAATGATTAATAGGGTATCGAAATAATCTATAGTTTATAAATGAAAATGGATCATTACACCATAATGTACAAATTAATCTTGGTAAACATTTAATCAAAAAAGGTTATACTTTTTTATATAAAAGACGAACATTCGTGCAAAATATATGTATAAATTTTAACAAATAAATATAGTTATTCTAGTTGTTAAATTATTTATAATCATGGCTATTTGTAAACTATTTATGCTTATTGGTTTGTTTGTGTCTTGTTGCACTTGCTTCCCTAGAGATTGGAGAGATAGAAAAATAATACTACCCGTGCACAACCAGGTTTGTATAATATAATGCAATTAATCTATTACAATTGAATAATTACTTTCATTATTATATGAATAGAGTGTATGTATGAGTGCGGGAACAGTGAATGTGTTGGACATGATTAGCGCCATTCGCTCACTAAACACCGGTAAACCACTGGAGCCTATGAGCGCACAAGAGGTGTTTGATTGCAGTAAGTTGACCATGGTCATATTCATAAAAATAATATAGGGTGTACACTATATAAATCATGTTTTTAAAAACCGCTGCCGCGTGCACACACTTACATTGTTGGGATCAATTATGCCATAGATGTTTGTCTCAACTATTACTTAATGATAATATTAATTGTTTGTTTACAATAATTACAATATTTGGGGAATGGGAGCCAAGGAAAGTTAGGTTGTCCAGAATTGAGTTCTGCATGTTTAAAACATAATATTGAATTGAGTTTGGCCCTTTTATAGCATATTAAGTTATTACATAGAAAAAATAAACTTTACTTAATGATAAAACGGATTATAAAGATTTTTCCATAAATATAATCTAGGCAAATTATATATCAAATAAAAATATATCTTTTCCTCTACAACATGGAAAATGAATTATGAAAAATTAATAAATGGTGTCCAAATTTCAAGCCTCCCAAATTGTATCCATATTAGCAACAACGCTTAATATGCTATAAAAATTCTGAACTCAATTCTGGACAGCCTACCTTTCCTTAGCTCTCATTCGTTAATATTGTAAATATTATACACAAACAATAATTATTATCATTAAGTAATAGTTGACAACAAAATATGGCATAACTGATCCCAACAATACAAGTGTATGCGCGCGGCAGCGGTTTTTAAAAACGCGATTTATATAGTGTACACACTTTATGCAATATACCGGTATAAAACAATATGCACTATATGGTATATAGTATAATGTACTATTAAATAAATTTATAACTAGACCCCGATTGGTGTATATGTAACGCGACTGTCAGTGCATACGATGTCATGACGTCAATAGATGATAATATGCAAGTGGTGCTTGATGTGGAAAGGGATCACCCGTTCACCGGCCAGTGCACCCATACATGCGATAAAGAAAAAATTTTTAAAAGAGGCTATGGATGGGAAAGTGCCGGTTGGACGGACCCAAAGAACCCCTCGGATCACGAGGAAGAGCTGAGTGATATGCTCGACTATGGACCACTGGTTGTGTACACAAAGTCCAGTTCCCCTGTATTCCAAACATATTCCGGAGGTATACTAGACAGCCGTAAGTGCAATATTACCGGCCCTTTAGATCACAGCCTACTTCTGGTGGGAGAGGGTGTCGCCAATGGGACCGACTATTGGATCGCCAGAAATAGGTTTGTATTGAAATTAATTTAATATAAAAAATGTTTAATTAATTTTAATTGACAGTTACGGTAAGGGTTGGGGTGAAAAGGGTTACATACGTCTGGCTAAAGGTAAAAATATGTGCGGGATCGGTTTGGGATATATGTATGTACAGTAAATCAGCATCTAGTTAATATCAATAATTTAATACTAAATGATGTACATAAACAGATGATTATTTTATTAAATTGTTGACTTGAATAATAAATTTGAACTAATAAAAATTATAAATCTAAGCTAAAAAAGTTTTGTAATCAATGCTTTTTAAACCTTTTAAATCTAAAATTAAATAAAAGTTTATTATTTTTAAAGCAAACTGAATCTCAAAATTATTCAAAATGTTTCAATTTTAGTAATCGATAATTTTTAATTTTGTCAACCATTAGGCGTGATTCACATATTACGTTCGACCTTTGTGAGAAATCTTGACCCCCTCCCCATCTTTTAGTCGCAATGTTCACATGTAAATATTTTTAAAATTTACGTTCAAATGTCTCTAACCCCCACCTCTAAAAATTAATTATTACTAAATTTATGCATAATTAAATTAAATCATTAATTATAAACATGGAATTTACAGTAATGTTAGAAATGGTGGATATGTTATAAGTTTTTTATAAAATTATTTTTCAGTTAAAAAATATTTTATAAACTAAAAATTATTTCTATTTAAACACCATGTCAAGGTATTGATCAATGTTAATATAATTTGGTGAAATTAACAAAATAAAATAAGCTTATTAAATGATATATAAATATGTAAAAATTA